AGACTAGTATAAGTTTCAGTGAACATTAAAGTTGAGTGTCCATTTATTATTTATGTATTTACACTACTGAAATGACAAAAATTTTCTTGACGAAAATCACAGAACCCAAAATTACATTTAAAATTCTACAGACAAGAATTTATTGATATTGTCCACATTTTTGTCTAAAGTTTGAAATATATGCTCCTTTTCAGAAGTAAAAACTTAAGGCACACTTAAAACTGCATTTTGCTGCATTGCTGAATGAGCTCCGATTACTTCAGAAACAGCGTAAGTCTGAAGTAATTTTTACCCTTGGTCAACTAAAGTGACAATGACAGAGCTTCCTTTGACTAGATGAAGGCAGATAGATTTTTCGAAAGGACTTAAAACACTAAGATTATTTCTACTTCTGTTATCAAGAAAAAGCTAAATTTCTTATTTTCCCAGATGCAATTATAATATGATCTCTCCTTTAGTGTGGAAGTGACATTCAGATCCAAAGTCCTAGCATCTATGGCGTATGTGAATCCTACCAATCTACATCTGAATTAACAATTCTATATCCATTTAATACTCTTCACCTATTAAGGACTTTTGCACTGGCTTGCACACAATTATAATGCTCCAGTATACAGATCAATATGGATGCGAAGTTTACCCTAGTTTTAGAAACACATCAAATCATCTACCTTAAAGAATCTCTCAGGTTTTCTGCATGTCAACAGAAAGCTTGATACATGCTAATGTGAACACATATCCATTATAACACAGATATGCACATAGAAAATCATTCAAGAGGAATATTGCATCATTAAAGCATTAAATCAGGAAGGAAACTATGTTCAACTAACCCACCTACAGGATAAAATACTCTCTGACCAGATTTATTTTTTTTTTAAAGCACAATAGTCCTTTGTCTGAGGGCATTAGTATGATCTAATTTGATAGGAAGAAGAGAAAATTTAAAATTAGCATTAGTGTTAAGATTAGTATTTAGAATTAAGTTTAAAAGAAAAATGACCAAGTACAGAGTAAGATTAGTAAACCAGAGAAACCACTAATATCACTGTTACTAGGCAAGTGCTGAAACGTGCATTTTAAACTTCTTAAAAAGAGAAAATACATTCATCTTCTACTGCACAACATATCTTAACCTCCTGATTTTTAAGAGTGCAAAGACCACTAGTCCTTCCCCTCCTCTAATCTTTGGTAGCAGAGCATCTAAAAGATACTAAGAGTACGATATTCAATGAGATACCCTTTTTCATCAACTTTGTGCAAGATAGAAAGGAATACAAGAATTACGGCAAATGCAATTTTACAGTTTACCAACTTCAACAAAAACCCTATTAACAGACTTTCATACCATCCCATCACTGACAAGAAACGCTTTTCGGACCCTATACACCTTTGCTGGAAGTTATTACTCTTAAAGAGATGCCACGAATTTTATTTTTAGTAGTTCTACTTGACTTTTCTTGCCTATGAGATATCATGTACGTACATTAATAAAATTTAAAATGTTTGAGTACCCAAAGAACTTGTACAGACTACGTGGAGTGAATAACATCACTCAGATGACCCTTCAAGGAGAGACATAAGACTAGTTAAAATTATGAAAGTCTTGCAATATGGTATTTTCTTTGCCAGTGCAAAGTTTCTGCTGATGCGAATGAATACAGTAAAGCAACATGGCAGAAAGATGCTTTTGCCATTCTTGTTCAAATAAACAGCTTCCAATTAAAAAAAGAATATCCTGCCTTTATGCCTTTTAAATCAATCATCTACACAAGTAGATGGTCTCACAGTACACGCTTACTTGTGAAAGCTCAGCACTTGAAAGGAAAATGCGACTAATGTAAAACTCAAAGAATCAGCAATAGCTGTCAACAGGGAAAGAAAGGTCCTTTCATTACCTGAATTAAAAATAACAAAAAATTCTGCTAGTTACTCTTGATGACTCCTGATACTCTGAATAGGTTTCAAAATTGTATCGGTTCAGCTCCCAGTATCAAGAGACAAAAAAGGTTACCCTTATCATTATGTTATTTTTAAATACATTACTGAAAATATAAAGAATGAAATTTGGGATCCATTTTTACCAGTTTCAAATCAAATGACCCAACAATTTGAGTTAGAGGAACATTAATCAAGAAAATGAGTACTTTAAGTGTTGACCAGCATAACGTATCCTTGCATGTGTTCAAAACTGCCGACATTGTATTTTGAGAGAATTCTGCAATAAATTGGCTTATTTTATAAATACCTTCTATAGACAGTTTTTTTGATAATTTTCCAACTGTGCTTAAGTAATGCTTGTGTGTGCCACGCTACAGGCTTGATTACAGTATTCCTGTCTTGCCTTATTCAGGCTAAGAGTACCTTAACTTCATAAATAAAGCCATTTAAATCACTGAAATGGCTTGAAGAATGGTATAGCACTCTACTGAAGCAAAGGAATCTAACAATCTATTCCCTTGAGTTTGTAATAACAATGTGAAGCACTACATATAAAAATGAAAGTGTACCAATATTTCACAGAAAAAGGCTTCAGCAAAGAAATCATGTCCTTATAGCAAATGAAGGCTATGTTTCATCTTTGTAATCTTTATGGACGTAGCATTCTGCTCAAATACAGTACAGTGAAAGATCAGAATCACAGGCTGTTTAAAAAGGTAATAAATACATCAAAGAACTTACTAATGCATAAGGTTTTCAAGTAAATGTGCATGCCTAAATATACTGTGTTGCCTGCAAAGCTACCTGAAATATTTTTCAATAGGTCTGTTACTTATATAAATAGTAGGTCAGCTTCTTCAGTTGCTAGAATCGACACCTTTCATCACTCTAGCAAGCTTTAAACAGGCATAAGCCAGAACGGCTGCCCAAATGCCTGGCCTCCATTTTCTTTCTGTCCCATTCTCACTCTTACCCTTTGCATCAGCAAAAATTACATCACTACCATGAACCACATCAACGAACTGGTCTGGATCTCAGGACAGCTCCTTTCAGTCCATGTGTTGTCTTATGATGGCTTAATCTACAGTGACAAAGGGAAGTCTTCACTCAAACTCTAATAAAAGATTTAAAAATTCCTACTGGCAAGATAAAGAAACCATACTGTTTTAAAAATATTAAGTCCCTTCTGAATACAGCTATTTTGGTAATATTTGTCTGCATGCTACATTAATAAAATAAGAAATGGAACAGTTCTAGCTGTAAACATGATGCAACTGAAGACTGTACAACAAACTTTTATTCTATAAAAAAGCAAAATAGTTGTTAGAAATTGATGGTATAACACATATGTACAGTAGCCAATTTATTAATGCTTGAAAGATATTAACAAAGATGAAAAAATCATTAAATGATACATTGTTTTATACCACTACCAACCAAATTGTTTAATATCTCTCACCTGGTAATTTACCTAAACCATCATACTATGAGCAATTTAGCATACTGCCAGTCCCAGTTTAGAAAAACAGATTAACTTTCAGTTTTAAAGAGGCATTTAACAAAATGTTTGAAAAGTAAAGCTACTGCCAATATGTGTTTGATTTTGAGTATTTATGTGGTCTATGAATGAAGCCTTTTCAAACTGCACGTTAAAATGAAATAAAGAAAACCCCTTAAGTTCATAAAGTATCTTTAGAGCTATTTTGTGCGTTTGGACTTTCACACAACCATATCCGCCTGACCAGAATACTACTAGTAGGTGGTGCAGCAGTCAAATTCTTTGAGCCAGAGTCTGCCCATGAAGGTACTTTCACCTTAAGCATTGTTCATCTCAACTCCTGAGATACGTTCTGGTAATAAACACATCAGCAAGGTCTATTACGAAGCAATAGTTATTTAATGCATACCTCACTACATCCTAATGACTACTACTTGCACAGTAGATAAAGAATCATTCATTCAAGTCCACTCTTTCAAAGGGCTACCTTCATTAAGCTGACAGTTTGTTTACTATCCGGAATAAAAGTCCCTGTAAAGGAAAAACTGAACCATGACACAGCGTGAAAAAATACCCCACCTCCCAGAGGGAGAGGGCAACACACACATGCGTAACTTGCTTCTACATTCAAAGGCATGCTTATGCTTTACATTCACGTGACATTCTCATACTTTCACCCCTTTGGGGGAAGCAGAAGGGGAATTAGAACTTGCATGTTAACGCTTTAATGTTAAAGATCAAAATTCTAGTCTGAGCTAAAAATGTTTCTTCTACTGAAGGGGCATTCATGTAACATAATCTACTCTTGGATCCTATTATGCAAGAGAAAAACAACTTTCTCAAAACTGAGTGAAAGGATGCTTTCAGATATAGAATTTTAACAAAAGTTATGTTGAAAAAAGTTGGTGAAATGCACTTGAGTGGAACAAATTGAAAATCTGACATTACCCTATAGCCAAATCTTTCACCACCAATTTAAAGGATACAACAAGCAGCAAAGTAGGGGAAACAGGAGAGAATAGCACTACTAATTTACCTAAGCAGCCAATTCATCTCAACAATTTAACAAGACGTTCTACTTCAATATTAAGCCATCAAAACACAAAGCCCCCCTTATTTCTGTTAAAAACATGTAGGGTTTTTTAGACCAACAACAGCTTTTTACTTTTCGTGCAACATGTCTGGACTTTGAGTCACTAGAACCAAATAACCACGAAGTACTTGAACACTACCACTATCTATCCAGAATACCAAATATATTACAAAATAAGACAATGCAAATATTTGCTTAAGTTTTGGCTTCATGCATATCTGCATTTTAAAAAGCTAAAATCCTACTGTATATTCTTACAGTATATCATGTTCCACCTTCTAAAAGTAGTAAGAACATCGTAACAATGAGCATGAGAAGGTAAATATAAGCTTGACAGTATTGCAGTGAAATAAGTTTTGTTATCTTACTACCTAAAGAAGGTGAAAGGCAAATTTTTACAACCTAGTTTCATTTCAATTTTATTGAACTGTCTACAATATTCTGTGAGTACGTGCACATACACAGGCACGCACAGAAAAAGTGGTATCTACAAACAGTTTACACAAATATTTACATACATATGTTATTTACATAAACTAATATGACTGCATGATTTTTGATGTAAAAACCATATGCTTCTTGCACATATAACTGTTGCATTGGTCTTACAAAAGTAATATAAACCTTTTGCAACAACTAGCTAAGCACATATCATAGCTGATTCCAAGTTTTTAGAGCTTGCAGGTTTTTAAAAAAATACAATACCTAGAACACTGTTATCAAACAAATATGCTTTATTGGCATCTAAAAACAAAATGCACCCAACATTAAAATGTACTTTTTCATTTTTTTTAAACCCACTGCAGTACGAGGAACAAATCACAAACACTTACTTTAGAGAAAACAGAGACTATAGTGTAGATTTTACAAAATCACTTTTAATCTCTGTGTTATGCTCCTTAAATAACATGGGCCATTTCTTTTTCTGCCGAATTGTAGGAACATAAAATATCACAGCTTTGTCTATACTTTAAAATTCTGCAGCAGCCTAAAAACACGGACAAGATACACCAGCACCTGTTTTCAAGTATAACAATTTCGATAGCCAACCTAAGGGTAGTATCTAAAAAATTCCATTTTCTTCCATAGGAAGTCTTTGTTTGACAAGCTGTTATTTTATCTTTGTGAAATTAAAAGCAAGTGGGGGCAAGTTTATGCTTTACCAGAGAAATAAAAAAAATGTTTACCTACCATGTTCAAATTAAGAACAGTGTTCTATACAAGTCAGTTGTACAGTTATTTAAGTGAAAGATGAACATGAACATCAGATTAACTTAATTCTGGCAGACAAAAGTGAACTGCTACGGTCCAGTCAGCCATTTATCTATTACAGAGAGATGACAACTTTACAAAAGGTATCTTTTACCTACTGAGTGATGATTATGTCCCCTCAGTTTCTGTGCTTTCTACCACTGGTTCACTTTCTATATCAGCTTCTGTGTCACTCTTCTCTTTGTTTATCTCGACGGAAGATGTCAGTTTTTCATAAAGTTCTGGATCGTCCTGCACCTGTGCAGTTGGTGGCTGACTTTCTGTCTCTGTATTTTCACCATTTACCTGGGGCATATTATCGGCTTTGCGCTGGGAAGTGGCCCCATCAAAATATTCAAACACCCGTGGATGTGGAGGGGGGATCCAGTTGTTTGACATTCTGTCTCTTCCAAACCTGTTCCCATTAATTTCTCTGCAAAAATTAAAATCTCTGTCATCCCTATCCCTCTGTCTTTCCCAGGGTCTTCTGCGGTCATCAAAATCTCTGTGAGCATCTTGTTCAAATCCTCTATTCCAATTGGGACCACTTCTACTGTCAAACCTATAGTTTACATGCCGAAACCTCTCTCTGTCTTCATGGAAGCCTTTAGGGCCACCATAAATAGGGAAGGCATGGTGCTCTCTTTCATCATAATCTCCTCTCTGTCCCCAGTGCTTGTCTGAATTGAAACCAAAATGCTCTCGTCGACCAAGGTTATCTATACCTGGTCTTCCAAAATTTTCTCTCATGTCTACATGTGGTCTTGCAAAGTGTTCTCTTCCATCTACTGGAGGCCTTCCCATGCCCTCTCTGGGATCAACCGGTGGTCGTCCAACAGAATCTCTGACATCCACTGGAGATGGTCTGTTAAGATTATCTCGGTTTTCTACTGGAGGAAAGCGATAATCTCTGTCTCCTTCCTGCT